TGGATAATTTTCAAAACGGTGTTTGAAGACACGAGAAGCCAATTTTCAGGGGTGCAGAATGTCGCACGCCTTAGGAGGGCATTAAAGGGCACCGCTAAGGAAGCGGTTAAGTCGTTGTTATTTACTTTGTGTGAACCTGAAGAAATAATGAACGATCTCGAGAGAAGATTCGGTAGGGTTGAGATGCTCATTTTAGCCGAAATCGAGAATGTAAAGCGTATGCCAAGATTGGCAGAAGATTGCCGGAATATAGGATCTTTTGCAAGTCGTATTACGAACGTGGTTGCCACAATACAAGCGTTGAATCAACCACAGTATTTATACTCACCGGAGTTAGTGAGCCGCATAGTGGAGAAACTTGGAACTATGATTAAATTTAAATGGTTTGAATATCGAGCTCAGTATCCTTTGGAGCCAGAGTTACAGAAGATGGCCAAGTTTTTAAATGTATTGAGTGAACAATTTGGAACGTCCTTAAGCAATGCAAATGCGCCTGAAAAACGGAAGCGTCCTGAATTCAGGAAGCAAACTGTACACACTGCAAAGGGATGTGTACGCAGCTGTGCCAAGAGCGAGCGCTATGTGCGCCGAAGTAATACGAGCGAGCGTCTAGAACGCCGAAATAATAAAGGGCACAACCGACAAGTGGTTATGACAACCCAGGACAAGGGGGGTGTGTTATATGCAACAAGGAGCACTCTATAGTGAGTTGTTACAAGTTTAAGGACATGAATATTCGCGAGAAATGGGACGCAGTCAAAAAGGCGAAAGTATGTTTCCAATGTTTGTCACCTAACCATAGGAGGTTAGAGTGCAAAGCGAAAAAATGTGGTGTAGAGGGATGTAGAATGTCACATCATCGGATGCTACACCGATACCCCAATGAAAATACCTCGCCGCAAGGGTACGAGGGGGGGTAAAGAGGCTCAGATTACAACTGTTAATACAGTGAATGCACTGGCATGTGCATACTTAAAGATTATACCGGTCGAGTTGTATGGACCTAGAGGAAAGGTCAAGACAACAGCTCTTCTGGATGAGGGATCAACCATGACACTCATAGAGGAGTGGATGGCTCAGAAGTTAGCGCCTCGCGGACGTAAAGAGGAATTACGTATCGAAGCCGTGGGAGGTAAGCGAATTAACGACGACAGTTCGTATCGCTTAAACGTTAAGATAAAAGGCATTTACTCGAATGACTTAGAAGAGATAAGTGTACAAACAATTAAGTCACTTAACCTTTCTCCTCAGTCAGTAAGTCGAGAATTATTGCAACGGTGTTCTCATTTGACACCGATTAAGGATGAGTTGATGTATGAGAGGTCCAGACCTACCATATTAATTGGCCAGGACAATTGGCATCTCATAGTTACTCGTGAATTAATTTCAGGAGGTAAGAACCTACCTGTAGCATCGCTCACCAAACTTGGATGGGTTTTACATGGTCACATATCGGGTGGTATTAAACCAATCAAGATTGTTAACCACATTTCCACCAAGAAGGAGGAAGATATGGAGAAGTTAATCAAGGATTATTTTAGTTTGGAATCTCTGGGAGTGTCTGCGCGAAAGCCCGCGAACGACCCAGAAGAACGAGCTTTAAATATTTTGAGCAAAACGGTACGTCGTATACCTAATAATAGGTACGACACTGCTTTGTTATGGCGCACAGACAATGAGTGCATGCCATCGAATAGAGCGCAGGTTGAAAGTCGCCTGTTTAATATCGAAAAGAAGCTCGATAAAAATAGCGAGTTGAAAAAAGAATATGAGAAGCAAATTGAAAATCTCATCGTGGACACCATAAAAAGCTTAGAAACAGGTGAAGAAGAATCGCCAAAAGGCGTAAATGCGCTGAGAAAACAAGAACCGTTAAGTCTACCCGACTACGGACGATTTAGCAGCTTTAAGAAATTCCTTGGGGCAACTACACGCACCTTACAAGCGGTAGAAAAGTTCAAGAGTTTAAGAAAGTCGGTTAAAGGACCCGACAGCGCAGCCGAAAAGTCGGTTATGTGTTCCAACAAAGTTTTAGCAAAGTCGGTTAAAGGACCCGATGGGTCGTTGGACATAGCGCTCTTGAGAAAAGCGGAATTGTTAATTTGGAAATTCGTTCAAGACGAGTGTTTTCATTCGGAAATAAAATGCTTGAAAGCAGGCAAAAGCGTTGAAAGAAGTTCACGCTTAAGTAAATTATCTATGGAAATAGGAGAAGATAACTTACTCCGTTTAAATGGACGTTTACCTTTTAAGTCTAATTTGACTAAGGAAAGTAGAAAACCTGTCGTATTAGACGGTAAACATGAAATCGTTAAAATGATGATTAGAGAAGTTCATCAGCATTTTGGACATGCCAATCACCAGATGGTGATGAATGAGGTGAACCAGAAATTTTATGTCTTGAACTTGCGTAATGTAATACGAAGTGTGTCACATCAATGTCAGTGGTGCAGGACATACAGGTCAAAACCGCAGAACGTGCCACAAGGAAATATTCCTCTGGAGAGAATAGCTCATCATGAACCACCTTTTACATGCTCAGCTGTGGATTATTTCGGACCTATGAGTGTGACTATAGGAAGGCGACACGAAAAACGTTGGGGTGTTTTATTCACGTGTCTGACCACCAGAGCAGTATATCTGGAATTAGCAGCCTCATTGACACCAGCGTCAATGATAATGGCATTGAGGCGATTTATCGCCAGAAGAGGAAAACCAGCCGTTATATACAGCGATAACGGGACGAATTTCAAAGCTGCGAATAAATAATTATTGAAAGCATGCGAAGAATGCTATGAGGGCATGAAAAATGAGTCATTTAAGAAATATATTAAATGGAAATTTATACCTCCGGGAGCACCGCACATGGGTGGCGCCTGGGAAAGGTTAGTAAGATCGGTTAAAATTGCGTTGACCGCTACGCTCAAAAAAAGAGCCCACGGGAGGAGGTTCTGCATACGCTGCTTTTAGAAGCGGAGCATACGGTAAATTCCAGGCCTCTGGTAACATTCAGTATGGATAGTCCTGAAGAGGGTTTGACACCCAATCATTTTCTTCTGGGACGCTCATGTGGTGATCGACCACCTGGATCATTTTTAGAGCAACATCTGACGGGTCAACACAATTGGAAAGCTGCACAGAGGTTAGCCGACCATTTTTGGACAAGATGGCTGAAAGAATACATGCCTACCTTAATACCTCGAACAGGTAATAACGGAAAGTTCATGGAACCTAAAGAAGGTGATATTGTTTTGATAATAGATCATTCGTTGCCACGAAATACGTGGCCGAAAGGCAAAATTAGTAGAACGCTACCGGGACCAGACGGTCACACCAGAGTGGTTGACGTCATTACTAGCAAAGGTATCTTGAGGAGACCTACATCCAGAATAATAGTCCTGGTACCCGCGACGCCTCCCAAATAATGGTGCTTACGCACGGAGGGGAGATTGTTGGCGACGCGCCTCTTAGAATATTTCAATTTATTAAGTCAACCGATGACGAATAACTTCTCAAAGGCATATTGTCCAATAGCAAGGTTCTGATAAGAAAATGCTTAGTTAAATCTTAAAGAAATATCGAATTAATGATATGAAGGTCTTGGGTTCGACTCCCAGGCCGGACTAGTTTATTTGTTTTCCTAAGTAATATCGCTTAATAAATTCATAAGGAATTTAAGATATAAATTATGCTACCGGATTTGTTCCCCGGTTGAAATCATCTTTCCAATGATGTAAATTCAAAGGAATATTAAAGTGAAGTTAGAGATCGGATTTGTTCCCCGGTCGAGATGATCACTCTGTGCATAAATAGAATTAACGGAAATTAATTGCATAAGTACTGTCTTATATAACTTTGATATGTTTTGTACGAAAACAAATGCCTATTTGCCATGATTGATTTATGAGAACATTCACTTATATTGTTATCTGATAAGAAACATGATAACTGATAAGAATCTGATTAGAAATAGTTTCCTACAGTTTGAAAATTGTGTAGAAGCATTTATTCACCCAATATTGTTAAAATTGGTGTATATCACACTTTCATTTTTTCTGATAGCCGAGAGCCGTGCAAAAGTTAGTTGTTCAAATAGTGTGAGTTCATAGACGCACGCTAGCCACGTACTTAAGAGGCCAAATATGTAAAAATTTAAATATTTGTAATTTCAGCAATTTATGTAAAAATGACTTGTAAAACATTTCAGGTTGATTGTACGTGATAAAAAGGTGAATTCTGTGTTATTTTTATGTGAAAATTCCTGTGTATAAGTGAAATAATGATAGTTTTGTATAAGAAATTTAAAAGTGTTTTAAATAGTGAAATAAATAGAGAAAATGTAAATTAAACTATTGTATTAGTTAACATATGTATAATTTCAAGTGGAAAACATTGTTTTAACTTTCTATGTTAAATATTTAAGAAATTTCGACTTTGAACTTGTGAGTAAAATAGGCATGTTTTGTTAAATAAATAATAGGTTTTTCGTGATATGAAAATGTAATGTACATCGTAGCGTAGATATTGTTTTGTGCTATCTATACAGGTACTCTGGGGTAGCTTAGTTGACTGTCGTCTACAATGTCCCGTGGAACAATGCAGGTATCGGGCCTCGGGGTAGCCCCCATTGCCCGGGTGTCCTCATATCCCATTACTATGGGACAGTCCTTTAGCCTATTTTAGGCTCGATAGCATAACACGGGTTTGTCCATAGTAGTGGTAAACTCTTTTTCCGTAATTATCCAACTACGGAAAAAGGTGGTTGTCTGGTAAGTCTGGGTTGGCCTTTCTGCGGCATTGTGGGTTGTTACTCAACTCTCTAATCACATATAGAGAGGAGTTCTCTTGGAAGAGGTCGCCCGTCCGGTGGCCGGGTGTGTAACGGCGCAAAGCCGTTAAGGTGTTCGTGTGGCCCGTTATCGGCACGGTCAAACATGCCGCGCGCTAGCCGGGCCACGAAGTCGGTGATGGTCTCGAACTTCAAGTCGGCCGCTATCACGTCATTCAGGACGTAGCGACCTGCTCCGACGATCGTCCTTAATGTCAGGTTCTGCTGGGCCTGCAGTCGCCGCCTCAGAGGGTCGCTCAGAAGTGCGTACCAGGCCGGTGCAGCGTAGGTGATGATAGTCCGGATATACATCTTGTATATCCGGAGCTTGGTTCGTATAGGCAGCTTGGATGCCAGGACCGGCAAGAGCGTCGCCCGTACACATCGGGCCCGGCGGACGACGAAGTCGACGTGCGCGGTCATGCGCAGCGTCCTGTCGATCCTGCACCCAAGGTAGGTTACAGCCTTCTGGTACGCAATCTTCTGGCCGTTGAGGGTCAGCGGAGGTGGAAACTTCCTGAGACGGCGAGTGAGCAGAGCGGTCGTCTTACCAACGTTGACGACCATCCTCCACTCATCCCAGCCATGGTGGCAGCAGGTCCAGCAGACGCTGCATCTTGGCAGTGGCTATGTGGGCTCTTCTGGACGAGGTGAAATAGGCGCTATCGTCCGCGTATAGCGCCAGCTCAACGTCGTCCTCCCACTCTTGAAGCCTGCCTGCTACACTGTGCAGTATGTCATTGGTGTAAGCCGCGTACAGGACTGGAGACAAACAGCTGCCCTGTGAGACGCCGGCTTTAATGGTTCGTGTTGCGGATTCGGCGTCCTCTACGCTGACGTAGAACTTCCTGTCTTCCAGGAAAGACGCCATTAACCGCAATATAGCAGGAGGGACACTGGTCTGTTCTTCCAGCCTGTATAGTAGTCCTATGTGCCACACCCGGTCGAACGCCTTCTCGATGTCGAGAAAGACGCCCGACGATATGCGGCCGCGATTGTACTCTGCCGCAAGCAGGTGCAGCACTCTAGTCAATTGTGTGACTGTAGAGTGACCCCTCCTGAATCCGTGCTGCTCCGCCCGAAGTTAAATGCACGGACGGAGACGTCTCAGCAGCAATCTTTCGAACAGTTTAGCTATATGCGGTAATAGCGTGATCGGTCTGTAGCTGGCAGCTCTACGCCTGTCCTTCCCGGGTTTCGGCAAGACGATCACTTTGCCTTTCTTCCAGTCCTCCGGGAAGTGGGATGTCCGCAGTATCCCATTGTAGAGTCGACCAAGCTCTACTAGGACTCTATTAGGCAGCTGTCGGAGTGCAGCGTTGGTAATCCCGTCGTGCCCAGGCGCCTTCCTCGGTTGCAGGCGGGTTACTGTCCTCCGCAGTTCAGCGGGGGAGATGAACCACTCTCCTGCAAGAGGCGGCGCGGGCGACGATAGGAACTCCTGTACGCGACTTTCCTTCCGGGCATGAAGCTCCATGAACTCCGCACTTGCTGGATTCGGCATAAATTGCTCCTCGAAGTGCTCGACTAGGATATCCGCTCTGCCCTTGGCATCGTAGCAGCGTTTGCCCGCGTTGTTGGTCAGCGGGCAAACGGGAGGTTTGGTTTTGGTCAACTGCCGGTTCAGTTTGTAGAGTGACGCATCATACTCATCCGCCTTCTGGATGCGCCGATCCCAGGCCTCCCCTCTGAAGGCCTGGACTGCAACCGACAGTTCCTCCGATAAGGTGTTCAGCTGTGTCTTAATTCTGGGACAGCGAGTACGCGCCCAGAGCTTTCTCAGCGCTCTTTTGCGCTTGATCTGCACGCATATCTCACGCGGCAGATCGTCTCGCCTTGCTGTAATCGGGACGACCGTAGAAGCCGCGTGGAGGGCTTCCTTGATGTTGTTGGTAATTCTAGTAGCAGCGGCCTCTACGTCGTTCGCTGTGCTTATAGGATGGTGTGCTGGAGGTCTCTGCTGAATATGTTGACAGTAGAGCCTCCAGTCGACACGGGTTTTAAAAGCTCTAGGCGGCGTAGTCACTGCCTTTAGGCCAAGGGTTATCAGTAACGGGAGGTGCTGAGAAGGGAGGTCGTACAGCACTTCTACCACTATCGGATAGTTGACATTCCTAGTGAGCACGATGTCTAATACATCCGGATGCCTCCGTGGGTCAGTAGGAACGTGTGTTGGTTCCTCGGGACCTAGAACGTCGTACAGGCTCTTTTCTGCATCTTCGTATAGCTCAAGACCCGGCGGGGTGATCACTCTGGACCCCCACGCCGGGTTTTTGGCGTTCAGGTCCCCGGCGATGATTATAGGTGTATCGCCTTCCATCACCCTCCGGATGTCTGAGGAGCAGAATGGAGTCCCTGGCGGGTGGTATGCTGCATATATCCTTAGTTCCTCGCCCGCCGCCTCCATTCTTATGCCGATTGAGCGCATTGTCTGGTAGGATGGTAGTTCCAGCTCTTGATGGACGATGTCCCTCCTCACTAGAACCGCCGTCCCTCTGTAGGCGGCCCCTTGAGAAGTAACCTCGTCCCTTCTGTAGATATGGAAGTTTGGCAGCTTTATTTGCGTCTTTGGATTCAATATTGTTTCGCCCAGCAGTATGATATGTATGTCCTGTTGCTGGGCGACAGTGCGGAGTTCCTGCAGCTTCTGCCGTATACCGTCCGGGTTCCAATACATTAGGCGCAGGTTATTCTCCTCCATAGTGCCTGGCCAGGAGGTTTGCCAGCGCCTTCATGATCGCTGTTACGGGGGTCAGTCCCGGCTCTTATATCGGCCAGGACTTGCGTGCCGACCTCGATGGCAATGCCAACTAAGCGCTGGATTGCATCAGCTGTTTCGAGGCCGGCAGTCGGTGGTCTCCTATATGAAGGCGTTGGCACTGGTCTCGGGCGTTGATCATCTTTCTGCGTTTGCTTCTTCTGGGTAGAGCGCGCTCTATGCACAGAGCGGGCTCTATCTTCGGGTAGAGCCCTTTCTTGCACTCTAGCCACGCCCTTTTTGATGGTCTCTTTCGTAACCTGCGCCTGTGAGGCTGCTGGTCCTGGTGTCGGGGTAGAGGTAACAGCCCGAGGAGGCTACGATTTCCTCCTGCTACTCCTCCGCCTCCTCTTTTTAGAGGGTTGCCTCTCCGTGGCAGGGTTGGCGGGGGATTGCAGAGTCGCCCCGGTGGTTGCACTTACTTCAGCGGGTTCCACCGTTTCCTTGTCTGATGATGCTGGTGGGGGGGGGGGGCTGATTGTCTGCCCTTCCCCGTAATGACAGGCCTGTTGGTCTAGTGGTTAGTGACCCCGACTGCTAAGCCGGAGGTCGTGGGTTCGAATCCCACCCAGGACAAATGTTTGTGTGATGAGCACGATCATTTGTTCTGTGTCTGGGTGTAATTTATCTATAATATTTATGTATTTAAAAATATATAAGTATGTTTATCAGTTGTCTAGTACCCATAACACAAGCTCTGCTTAGCTTGGGACTAGATGGCGTTGTGTGATAGTTGTGGAATATTATTATTATTATTGTGGGGTATCTATATAGTTTTCTCATCTGGTTGGGTTCTATAAATATATAATTATAAATGAAAATGAAAAGATAAATATACATATATTTATCTTTATTTTTTATTATTTATTATTATTATTATTATTAACGGTTGCCCACCCGTCTTTCTGAACGGTAATTGCTTTAGGGCGACTCTGGGGGATCCTTTTCGGGTCCTCCGGGAGTAGCCCCGGTAAGGTAATCCCCTGTCTTCGAGCAGTCCTCCTCAGGACTGGACAGCGACGGTCGTTGGCTGTATGGTTCTTGCCACAATTGGCACATGTGGGTTCCTCTTCCCTACCCCGAGGGCAAAGGCTCGCTATATGCTCCCCGGCGCAGCGCACGCACTTCACCGGCCTGAAGCAGTTAGCTGAGGCGTGTCCGAAGGCCTGGCAGCGGTGGCATTGAGCCGGTCCTGCTTTCCTTTGCCAGGCCTCTATAACTACTCCCCCTCATGAAGAGTAGTTCGTCTATGTTATATAGTTCTTTAAGCTGCTCCAGGCTTAGGTGGTCAAACTGGGCGAAGTAGACGCATCCAGGTCTGCCTCTTCGCGGTGGAATAGCCTTCACATACTTGACCGGGAAGCCCTTTGCCTTAATGGCCTCCTCTATGGTACTGGTATCGTTCCCCATTGGTAGGCCCCGGATGCCCACTTTGGTGGTAGCTTGTACTTCGATCCGGGGTATAGCAGTACCACGACATGTTAGGTGTTGCCTTGGAAAGTTCAACCATATAACGTTGAACAGTCCTAAATTCAGTGGCGCTCTGTGGTGTAAAGCGAACTCCCTTCCCGAACGGACGGGCATTCAATGGGTGGCCCAACATTCTGTTGAGCTCCTTGAAATGCCTCGTCCAATCCGGGAGGCATTCAGCCACTATGGGCGGGTATCTCGTTTTCTCCTCCTGGTCGGCAGGCTTGTCAGAAGTCGCTGCCGCCGGTTTTGGTCGTGGTACTGCTGGCGCAGCTACCATATGGGCGTAGCTAGTAGATGGCCGTTGGCCATCATCCAGCGGTCGCCCGGACGGATTTTCGGTTGTCTTCCTAGGCGACGTGGACGGCGAGTGTCCAGCCGATGTATTCGGGGCTAAGGTCGCATAGGTTGTGGCACTCCACCCGTACGACCCTTCTCCTCCCTGCTCTAGATCCACAGCTTCCATGCTGGAGTGATGTTCCTCTGATCTAGGGGGGAGTGGGTTTAGTCGGCGATGGCGACTTCGGTTGTGATCTCCTTATTGGTCGTTGGTCTTGTTCCTCCTCGGATTACTCGTCATCCGAGGAGGAACAAGTTGGAGGATCCTAGGCATTGTCTCTTCTCCTGCAATGATGCTGCAGTCTCAGGCGGAGTGTGCCTTCTCCACGGCTTCTTAGCCCGCTGTTGTTGGGGAACCGGTTCCAGCCCAGTCGTACCTTCAGGTACGATGGGCGAGAGCGCGGTCCTCGGTGCGGGTCCTTTTCCTGGAGATAGGGGTTTCCTAGTCGGGATCTGCGAGTAGGAAGACACTACTCGAGTCCTTTCCGGATAGAAGATGTCCCGGTATGCTATCGGTCGATCCAGAATGCTTGTTCGGTCCGGTGGTTTTCTGGTTCTCGGTGGTGGCTCCCCCTTATCATTGTCCTTATCGGACATGGTGAACCTACCTAAGAGTCAGTAGTCTAACTAACGGCCCTGTCTATATCCAGCCGATCGGCTGTAATGCACGACGCGGATGGAGGTTGCAACTAGATTGGCGTAATCACTTGGGGCACTGTCTACCCCTTTTGTCAACAAAAGGGTTGGGGGAAGTGCGACGGTGGCACTTTATTACGCGACTAGGCACAGGATGCACGAAGCGCATAAAGTGCCAAGAATCACCTAGGGGCCGGTGACCTCGACGCCTCACGGAATCACGGGACTCAACGATCGGCGGAGTTTGTCAAACCGGCGGTTATTTGCAGCCACTGCTAACTACGAAATAACGCACACCTAGGAGATCCTTGGTAGCTTAGTAAATGAGTTTTATTGCAATTCGTTCGGGAATCCTTCGGGGAAATAAGTTCGAGAATCCTTCGGAAATCGTTCGGGAAAAAAGTTCGGGAATCCTTCGGGAAGATAGTTCGGGAAAAAAGTTCGAGAAAAGTGAAAAACCAGCAGTCAATAAGAAGAGTATAGGGAAGTGATAGGGAAAAAGTGATTACTCTCTCACGGAACGGTTTGAAGATAATTGCTGTTTTATTCCCAAGTAATTCATCCCTCAAGTTTTACAGTCCATATCGAAGAATTAAGGCGTTGGGACCGGGACGACTTCGGAAGACCCGTAATCCCCGTCTGGAACTACTCGCTGAAAAGGAAGAGGTTATCGCCCTTGTGTGTTACTCAGTTGCGGAGATCACATACGTTGTTCCCGAACCCCACGTAGGCGTTATAGGAGGCCGGATCGAGAGAAGCCTCGATTCCTCCCTTCTGTTTCTTAATCGAACGTTTAATACCCGGGTTGGTTCCTTTTCACCCCTTCTCATGACTTTCTTTCTCCCCAAAAATTATTCTGGTGTAGTTTTAGCACTAGTAGTAAAAATCTGCTCAATCAACCTTATAATATCATTGTTAAGCTATTGCATAGCTTCTATCGCGGGCCTTGAGCGCGGGGTACGAATCCAGAAATTCCGTAACGAAAAAAACCTCACGCTCCCCACTCCGACGGGCACGGAGGTGTGGCGTTGAAAGCCGTGCATCGTCTAACGTCGTTTCAGTTAGGCAGACTTCGGCACTCGGCAGACTTCGGCACGGTGTTTGTGTGCGTGCGACTAGACGTATGCGTGTACACTAGCTGCTAACTCAATGATAAAAATTCCTGAATAACCTACATGTATTGTAAGATATTAAAAATATTTTAAACAATATTAACTTCTCATTTATTCAATAAGAGAAAAAAAATTGTTTTCTTATCGGTCACCACGCTCAAAAAGTGTAACTTGATTTAATATCAAAGACTTAACTGCATAAATAAAATAAATAATAATTATAATTGCATAAATTGATAAAAAATGCTATGCGATAGCTTTACCGCGGCAGTCACCGAGTGCCACACGTATTTTTTGATACACAATCACTTCTCATTGGGTGATACATACTAAATAATAACCAAGCATAGTTACCACAGAGTAAAATTGCGCTGAAACATGGACAAAACTTGTCGACTTTGCTCATCACTAGTGGTTGGGCGGCGGGCCTTAAGGTTGCCGAGTCACAATTCCCCGGTCGAACCTTGACCCTACTACGCGAGATGTTTTACTAGATGGACTGTATACGCGGTTGGCTTCTTCTGCTTCAACAAAATGGCGGCTGTAGCATGCGGTTCCTTGAGAATGCACTCGCTCTTCCAAAAAAACCTATTTCTTGCCAAGGTTTATGAAGGAACCCTGCTTGATCACATTAGGAGAAAATGAAATTGGGCGGATTAACTAATAAAACACAAATATTCAAGCAGGCGTCATAAGGAAGAAGAACACTTACCGGGGTGTGACTTCGATGCGGCTTGGATGCTGTGGTGCTACTTCTGGCGGATCTCCTGGGGCCCCAGGGATGCGGTCCTGGTCGGTGGTGCGATGGAAGAGAGCGGTGTGCGACGCTATCTCACTAGGTGAGGCGGTCACTTCTGGAGCTCGACTGCTCCAGGTGGTGCGGTGGAACTAGCGGTACGCGTGGGCAAAGGCCCTCTAGGACGCGACTGTCCCAGGCGGTGTTCTTCCAACGAGCGGCGCAAGGGCAAGAGAGCGCACGAGGGCCGTGTGCTGGCTTATATTGCTTCGATCCTCTTATCAACGCGTCTCGGGGGGGCGCGCTTCTCATTGGTTGCAAATCACGCGACATTCTAGAATTATCTTCTTTCCCCTCTCACCTCACCACCCCGGTGTGTACGGAAAGGATAGGTGAAGGAAAGGAATGCTTGGCAAGCCTACCTTCGAATAAAAATAAAAATACGAATGATTTTCGGCGCAACCAACTAGTTTTATGTAACTGCACATTACTGGCTGTCAATTTCTTTAGGATTTATAAAAGACCATTAAAAGACGAATCATTGTGCACATGTTCAAATACAAATCGTTTCTTAATCTGTATGATCGATTCAATATAAAACGTTTTTGCCGCCTGGAAAACTTTTG